ATATATATAAATATATCTTTAGCATAGAACATAAAATTTTGTTCTTTATCGTTGAATGCAGAGAAAAAGAAAGAAAAGCACTTTTTCGTCTTCGTTCATGTTCAAACGGATTGTGTGAAGGTGAGAAAGAGGAGTGTTATATTTCTATATGTATTATTGCAGATGAGAAAACGACGACAATGTTTGAGAGTGGTCAGATAAAAACAAAAATCATTCATTGGTTTATTATCTTATTCAATTATCTGTCCAAATAAATATCAACGAAAAACAAAATCATGTTTAAGTGTTTTCCAATTCCATTTTGTAGTAGAAATTTGGAACAAATTGATAAACGTCATTGTAATTTAACAACAGTACCTGATGATGTTCTTCGTTATACACGTACATTAGAAGAATTATTACTTGATGCTAATCAACTTCAAGATTTGCCTAAGGTTTTTTTTAATACTTAGTGAATTCTTCTTTTATGTTTTCTTTTTAATATTATATCTTAGGGTGTTTATCGTTTAACACAATTACGTCGTTTAACATTTAGTGATAATGAAATTCAATATATATCACCTGAAATTGGACAATTAGTTAATCTAGAAGAACTTGATTGTTCAAGAAATGGTTTGAAAATTTTCGTTTTTTTTTTTTTTTTTCTTTTGAAATATAAATTTTATTATTTCTTATAGACATAGCAGAAATTCCGGATAATATTCGTCATTGTCGATCATTACAAAGACTTGATTGTAGTGGAAATCCTTTGGCAAATAAGTAATTGAAAGAAAAATATTTTCTTTAAGATAATATAAATTTTGTTTTTGTTTTGTCTCGTTTGTTTAGTCTTCCCGCTGGTATAATTCATCTTCGACAATTATTTCAATTAACATTAAATGATGTTTCACTTGCTGAATTACCAAGAGAAATTGGCAGGTACATAGAAGAATATTTTTGAGTTCATTTCACTAACATTATAAAAACCAATTATTTATCATTGTTTTTTGACATTTAAAAACCATC